GTCACAAGACCAGACACAAGACCAGACACAAGACCAGTCACAAGACCAGTCACAAGACCAGACACAAGACCAGTCACAAGACCAGACACAAGACCAGTCACAAGACCAGACACAAGACCAGACACAAGACCAGTCACAGGACCAGTCACAAGTAACAGGGTGAACAATGACAAAAGAATGCCTTTATCGCAGTTTATTTGAATAGCTTGTGGCTTGAATTCAGACTGGAGGTCTTGTGTTTGGTTGTGTGCTGGTCTTGTGAAGGTCTTGAGTGGTCTTGACTACAACACTGACCTGTTTCAAAACACAGTTTAGACTTTTGTGGCTCATTGCAACTCCATTTTGTGCTACAGAAATGTGCAGTTGCCCAGGCCTAAATGGTTTGAGTTTTTTCACCTCGTTCCAATAGAAGATATTCAAAAAATTCTGAAGAGTAGCCATGGAGCCAAGGTTTGAGACAAGTTGAGTATTGTGAAATGGCCTTTGTCACGATTGAATTCAAGTTTTTTGGGACTTTCTCACCCAGATGACGAGAGCAGTGATGCCTTCTCCGAGATGACCTCTGCCCTTGTTGGTCACGACCCTACACTTGACCTTGTCGACCTGGCAAGCACGTCCTCTATAAGTTCAATAGAGTTAGATGCTGATCTTCTGTGAACTTTCACTGAATGTTTCTCAATAATTTGTTCGTCAAAGGTTGTGCATGGTAGCCATTTTTCCGGTAAGAGCTTTTGTTCCACAGGGATACCCATAAGTAAACCTTTTGTGCTATTCCTTGTAACAAAGGCATTTACCAGAAAGATGGCTGCCAGGCACAACCTCCATAGAGTCTTTGGCCATGCCCGAAAAGTGCTTCCAGAGCTACGGCTAGGTCTATTGTCTACGCATCTCCACGCAATTCCAATGGAGCGAAGACCTAGACCTAGCTCTAGACGAGATTTGGATGCAGCCAGAGTCTGAACTATGACTTTGAAAACAAATTGCAGTTTGTGGCAACACTACAATTAGCTCATGGTCTCAACGGCAGGCAGTAAATTAATACTTTACCTACAGTAAATAGCAGTGATAACTTCTTGTTTAAAGGACGGTCACACGACGGCAGGTTAACATTTTCTGTGAATTTTAGGTAGAAACTGTATGTAAAATGTAGCTAGATTCCTCATACATATAATTTCTTCTTTACTGCCCTAGTTGGTCAAAATGCATACAGCCAGGTTTTGCCGATTCTGATTAGTCGAGGAGATAGGGCCAACCCTCCATTTCTTGACTCAGTTTTGCTTGAACGAGTACAAAGAATGCATTTAAATGCAGTACCTAATCCTTGTCTGCTACATCCTCCAAAGCAGTCCAAAGTTATAACTATTATTAATAATTTCTGGTAATGACACCACGGATTCCTCAAAAGCACCCTTGGCACTGTACATGTAGTTCACAGTCCTGAAGGAACCTGTAGAGAGGGAACAATGACGGCATCCAGTTATAGTTGTAGAGGTGGGAGGAAAACCCCAGAGGAATGTTCTAGGTAAAACACACGACATCAGGTAGGGACTGAAAACCCAATCCACTTGTGGACTGGACCGGGAATCGAACCCAGAACCACAGAGGTGGAAGAACCACTACGCCAACCTGACTCCCCTACGTCTCTTGGTATGTAAGTTTGAAGTTCAAAACACAAGAGTCGTTGATGATAGCTTCAGGTACATGTAGGTATGTAATGATACATCCCTCAATTCATTTGCTTTATATAAGGGGTAAAGCCGCCTCTGAACGGTTGAGTTACCCAGGGTCATAAATAAACACACTTTGATCACTCCTGACTGTAGATAAAATCCAAACCACTTTGTCATGATTTTCCACCGTACTCTAAGCGTGATCACATGATTGCCCTTTGTGAAAACTTGTTCCATATGTGGATTGAGTTGAGAGATTTAGCAACGGTCCTTATTTGTCATGTGCTTAATGCGAGTCATGCGTTCTTACACCATGAGACTAGAGGTGTGTCGGTTGTTTTTTCCTTTTAAAGCCACGCGCAGTCCAAGCCTGAACTCTGAAACATTTCCGAATATTCTCGCACTTCAAAGATCTGTGTTGTATGAAAGGGACACCAGTGGTTGCATTGTAACTCTACACCAGTTTAGACTGGTGTCCAGTCTAAACTGACGATGACCATTCACTCACATGGACACCCAGTTTGGCATTAACCCAGGTTGGATGAGGTCTTCGTAACATAACCGTGTAACCTGGGTCTTAAACGGTAGTAACATTTTACCAGACTGAGATTGACTGCTGCTATTCCGATAACATCTCTATGCACTGTCAGCCTGTGGTTACAATTTGGAAATCAGCAAAGACTTCACACCAACCACTTAGCTTGGAATATAAAGATATGGGATTGATCTGCACTGTGAGAAAAGTCCTGTTCTGTTTTTTCCATTAAAACCCTCAAGGGTGTATGTAAAATCACATTGAAATCGGAGGATTTGAGACTGTTAGGTTTGACATCTCTTAGCAATTTCTTAGCTCAATGCTTATTACAGTTGACTCTCACTTTAACAGTTGCAGAGACCAGACAAATTACTTTTTGATAACCAGTTTTTTGTTATAAAAGGAGTGGAAAAACAAAGAGAAATATAAGAATTAAAGGAAGTGGGATTCTCAGAATCTGTTTTTTAACCCTAAAAGTCCCAAACCCTCCAATTTCAATACGATTTTACATACACCCTTGGGAGTTAGGGCTAACCCTAACAGTCCCCAATCCTCCAATTTCAATACGATTTTACATACACCCTTGGGAGTTAGGGCTAACCCTAAAAGTCCCCAATCCTCCAATTTCAATACCATTTTACATACACCCTTGGGGGTTAGGGTTATAATAGTATTTTGTTGAAACAGAGTTCTTCATGACAAGAGTCGACTGTATGCGTGTACACATTTAAGTGTAATTCTGGGTGGCTTTCCCAGGGCTAAGGGTACAATTTCGTTTATTAGACAAATTTGAACCACTTTGTGGAGACATTTGTCTGTCCCCGTAACGTCTTTTGTTCCTACAAAATAGGTGAAATATCATATGTCCCCGCAAGTACGGAACAAGAAGCAATGTGAAGACAATTGATTAGCGATAGATTGTGGAAACATGAAACATGATGGGTTCCTGAGTACTTCAGCTGTTCAGTGTGAATTTTTTTTTTTCACTCCGACTGTCAGGTTTTACAAAAGTCTTAACAGTATTGCTTAGGCAAAAAAGGGTGGCTTTTGGTTTACAGATTTAAATATACCACAGACAGGTGTATTTACTAAGCATGTTATGATGCGCAACTCATTAGTACCGTGTTAAACTTGTGTCCGATATTCAGCTCAGTATGCTGGATGTACAGACTACAAGAGCTTGTAAATGTTTTAAATAAGTGAGGATTTTTTGTTCTGTGATGTATGTTTTGTATTTCTGAAATTTTTCCTTTTTGTGTTAGTTTACATGCCTTGAATTTTTTAAGCAAGTGCAAGTAAATTTTAGTGTCCCTTTCAGTGGCAATCAGTGAGAACAATTATATAAGTATTCTTCTAAATGTGATGATTGACTTTGAACGATTTGAGAAGAGTGTGACCTTGTTAATAATAGGTGTTGACTTAGCCCAAAGTCAAGGTCATTTCCCATTTGGCAAACATTAGAGTAATACCACACTTTTGTATGCAACCACACGTTTTCAACAACTCTGAAAATTTCAAATAAAATAAAAGAAATACATGTAGTTTTTTATGCCGAGATGAGAATCCCAGGGGGGGGGCAAGTTTTGACCTTTCTGTCTGAATAGGTAAACAGAGACATTGGAATTCATGCTGGGGAGGTGGTTTTTGCAATTTCCTCGCTGTTTGCGTGTGTATTCTAGGTGGGGCTGTCACTGCAGCTGTGAGATGACTTTGTTTGCGCTGATTGCGTGGATCAGCGGATCAACATTGGTATTTGACAAAATGTTGACGAATGCACATCGAACAGGGGGGAGATTATAGGTCTTCGTGAATTTGTCATCTAACACCTCAGTCATGATACGGCTGTGTTTGCAAATAGAGTTGACACTACGGTGTGATTTTGGTGTGATCGCTAGAGAGCTAGACTTTATTTCCTCTGTTTCTCAAATTTTTTTTTTTTTTACTAAACAGTCCGGGGAAGGGGTCTGAACACAGAGTGCCGCCCATAGACTTTGTGTAACGACAGACGATATGTATGGGAACCTTCCAGGGTCTTCATGTAGCTATTAAGTCTATACAGGAATAAGGTATGCCAAGCATAGGAAATAGTTGCCTACCAAGGTGACCCACCAAATGAGACCCACTCTGCAGAAAAGGGTGATAAGTCGTGCAGTGCCAAAACACATAATGGCCTGTTCTATTTGGAAAGCACAAAATTTCTTCAAAAACATGATTTTTGTGTTTTTCCTTTAATAGCTTCTATAATATTTGTAATTTCAGAATTTGTGACCACAAACATGGATACTGATGAATAAAGATGAAAAATGGATCATTCAGTAAGAAATCCTGTATAGCATTGTGTTTCCAAGCGCTACACTTTGTGAGCTTTTTCTCGAAAAGTGCTTTTATTGAATCCAAAAATGTGGACTTACTAATGTCCACATATCTCCTGAATGAAGTGCACTACAGGGGTCATTCATGTATCAAATTGTAGCTTGTGATGTACGGAATCCAGACATATCCAAAACTCATAACCTAAGCTGGCGACTTATTACCCATTTTTCTAGAGTTGGTCACAAATGCTAGACACTCTGTCCTACTTAAAAAAGGTTCTCTGTTATTTTGGAGCTGAGCGCATAAATTTCCAAGCTGTATTTTTGTGTTTAAGTAGCTGCATGAAAGGAGGCCCAGGTTCAATATTTGTTCACATTGCATTCAGATGCCCTCGCCTCTTGGAAATTCTGAATTTATTTTGAGGACATTGATTTATCAATGTAGAACTCATGCAAGCCCATTGGTCTGCTGAGGGCAAGCGTTCTTTGTTGGAATTGTTGAATTACTTCCCAAGTTAAGCCACCGTGGAATTTTAAAGCCTCAAACTTGTGACAATGGTACATTGATTCCTGTCTATTGCATCGTGCTTTTTATTTACTCGGGCAACTCACTGACACAGACAGTTAATTTTATGTGACCCTGATAGCACGTTGCTTTACAAATGACTCAGCAATAATTACGTAAATAGTCTGTAGAACCTGTAAGGCTAAATTGCTGAAGAGAGTAGGATTTTTCAGGGAGGTCTTAACTTAGGCAGCATAAAGTGAACCTAGAGGTTGATGGGAGTTGCTTTCAGACTAGTTATTGCCAGAGCTTAATCACATGCAACAAGCAGTCTAGCTGTTAATGTATGTAATAGGTCAGGCCAGCCATACTGGGATGATTCAGCATTGTCGGAGGACCCACACTTGCTGGTCATGAAAGGGCGTTTTAGTATCCAGGGGCTTTTGTGTAAATACCAGGACAAATCCCCCATTTCTGCAACGTCACTCCAGTGTCGCTCTCAATATGAGAAGGAGCGTAATTGTCAGGGCACCCCAAATCCCTTCACCAATTCTGAGGCCTAGGGTTGAAGGGTTTGCTCTTGCATTATCAAGTGACCTGAGCAGAGTCCATACAGACCCATTCTGTCCGTTGAAGGCTTAATTAATTACCCATCTAAGCCGTGTCAGCATGTTAACCCATGAGATAAGATGTATCTGAAGGAGCTGAATTGGATTGATGAATCTGCACCTGCCAAGTTGATGGGTCTAGTCTGAGCATTACCTTTTTGCACTTAATTTCCTCCTTGGTTCCCATGCCAGTGCTTGTCTGCCTTGTAATCAACACCTCTAAGTTTAGCCGTCCGGACATCTATGGTTTGCGTTGGGGGTGTGCTAGAGTCTGACAGGCTCTGCCCTGGTTTTTTTTTTAATGTGCCACAGAACGTGAACCCAAGCCAAGTCACAGGATGATCATCTTAAATGAAATAGGCCAAGAGAGAGATCTTTTTGCTGAGCCTCCCAGACACTTGTGCAAATTCAGACTCAAACAGCTTACCATAGTAGAAACAATACCAACAGCCCTATTCCCACTGTTTACTGAAGTGCAACGTTGAACAAAATTTTAATAGTTCAGTGGTTCCCACTTGATTTTTTCCCCCTCAGGAATTTTGCTGTTTCATCCTGCGTCTATTCAACTGACCGCACTGGTTGTGGCTAGTGCCTAAAAATAGCCACATTATAGAATTGCCCTTCATACTAAAAGATGTACCTGTGCATCAGTATGTAAACCTGTGTATTATAAATTGGTGCTTTTGTTTGGTTTGCTTTTAAGAGGACCTTTTTTCCTGATTTTTACCCCAAACTGTTTATTATAGACATTAATCAATGTAATTAATTGTATGTAAATTTGACATGCACAGGCAATTAAATCCGACAAGACCCTTTCAAATGCAGCCTAGTTTTTCTGAAATGGCACAGGTTCGTTTTGTCCAAAATTCAAGCTAACCAAATTTGCACATCCATGGAAATCGACAACGCAGTTGATGTTATTAGTTACTTTTATAGAAGCAATCAGTTGTGGAAACGTATTTATACGTAACTTCAAGAATAGAGGGATCAAGGTCTAAATAAACTCTTTAAGTTCCTCTCGACAATGAAATAAAGCTTACCGAGGGGTGGGCAGAGGGATCAAAGTCTAACTAGACTCCTCTCAGCAACAGAATACAGCCAGGTGCATGAAGAATGACATTTCTTACAAAACATCGCTTTGCAGGGGTTAACCGCACTTGTTTAAAATTGTAAAAGAAGTGGGCTTTTCTCAGAAATGCTCACAACCGTGAGAGGTAATATTTTTATTATTAGGTTAGGCAAACATTTCTGAAGTCTCAATTCAAATGAATAGAAAGGGCTTACTGTACTTTCCAAAAATTAAATCCTTTCACGGTTTTAAAAACTGGATCATAATTCGACTTGCTCAGAACTCTCAGGGGTTAGACCCTTGCATATCGTTGGCAATTGATTGGAATTTCACTTGCGTTCACAAGTTGACATATCTCCACTCAAAATGTAAATGACAACGGGTTACCCTTGCAACTGTCAATATTTCTAGTTATTAAGCAAGAACAACTGGATGTACATGTATTTAAAGGGACATCTTAAACAGGTCATTGGTTTGCCTAAGACAACACATACCAAAATCATTGCGTCACTGTTATATCACTATAGGATCAACCAGTCAGGAATGATAGTGAAATTTTTCCTTGAAGACAGACCACACTGTATTTGAAACAAAACCACATCAACTCATTATTTTTTTTCAATGTTACATGTACACGTTTATTGACATTTACACAACATGGAAACTTAAAAAAATAAGTTCCTGTATCATGTTGACTGTTCTAAGTAACTTCACAAGGCCAGCTGTACGGTGAGCAAAGACAACTTAAAACTGAACTGATCTTATGGGCTAATGTGACGCCTGGTTTTCCTTTCTCTGTGCTTCGAGTTCTGAGATCTATAAGTTAATTTCATCACCTGCCTGATCATTACTGCACCAATTTCCCTGGTAAGTCACAAACCGGAGGATTAATGAAACAGTTCTAGGAAGAGCAAGACATATACACAGTATATAATTCACATGCTCGGGCAACAGCTGTGGGTTTTTTTAATCTATATGGCCAACTAAGAGTCGAGGTATGACACTTTGTTTAACAATGCCGTAGCATCGAGAAAAACCAGCAACTGGATGGGTACGATATTTAACTTTACTCGCCCTTTCTAAAGTTGGTCAGTAACCCATTACCAGTCTATTAAAAAAAGGTTTCCCTTACCCCACCCCAAAATACAAATACATAAAGCAGACTTTACAATTAAATAGCAATCTTATATCAAAACCGTTCAGCGTTTTCATTATTTACAGTGACGCTCGTGACATCACCAACTTTCAGAGGCAAGCATTCTAACCAGGCAATTACTTTTATACATGTACACGTCTCTCTATGTATGTACACATGGTCTCCAAAGTAATGGTTCTATACAAACATGAGTTAAGCATTCACAAATAATCAGACGCTGAGTCCAATGAGGTACGTACATATTATTACACACACACACTGAAACAAGTCCCTTAATTTTGTCCATTTGGTTGTGATGAAAACTTATTCCTCTAAAACAACAAAGCTTGTCGTTTTGGCGAAAGGGGATAAATATTACATCAAAGAAATTAAATACTTTACGAGCGTATACATATGACGTGCATCCAGCATTTTCTGAATAAAGCAAGTTTGAATATATCCCCCGCATGAATAAGTGTTTACGTTGGGGTAGTGCTCATGGATAAACGGCACTGGAGCATGGACTTCAGGGACAAAAGACACAGAACTGCAAAGTCATCAAAAAGAAATATGGTTAGGGGGTCAGCAATTCTACCTGCAAAACATGAATCGGGACCCCGCAGCGCTGAGCTGCGACAGCAGTAGGGTCAGAAACCAGAGAAGTTTCCGCTTCACAAATCCATTTCAATTTGCCTGAGAACCTGCACCTGAACATTAGTCTTGACGGTAATAATGTATCAGGTAAAAATGATACAGATCACGTTTTATCGTGTGACTTCTTGAAGAGGACTGCCACTACAAATGGCTCATCAAAAAATTATTTCAAAATACTACTAGCTCCATGCTTGAAGTTGAAAAACTTTGTTAATTCCTTGAATTAACTTTAACAATTCAGAGCAAACATAGGAAGGGGAGAATTGTAATTTTAAATCCATCTTGCACGGCAGTCAATTAATTCTTGTGGAGATACATGTAATAAGCACTTGATATGCAGAAGCACTGGAGAGTTTAGCTGAGCCCAAACAGGCAAGCATCCAACATGCAATATCATTTTTCCGTTAACTAATAACTCGTAAGATTTAACCCAATGGGTTCTAAACTGCTTTGGGAACTGCTAAGGAATAGGAATTTGTCAAACTGTCTTGGCTGTTTTTTATTCAGCTTCTTCGTGCTGCCCTAGGTCCAATTTCTTTGGTGTGATTTAATTGAAATATTAACGGCGAAACCCAGTTGCAAACCAGAACGCCGGAAATACATTATTTCATGACAACTGGGCTAACTTTTTAAATCTGTTTTTATACACGTAACGTTGTCTTCGCCAGAGAAAGAAAAATGGGTACCCAGCAGTAATGCCAAATTGAACCCACCCAGGCTCCAAACAAGTCGAACGACAACTGATTTCACCATGGTGAAGAACTTCTGTAACTGGGGATTAGTAACCACGTCAACTATCAGTTGAAGTGTCTACCTGACATCGAGATGTGTACACACAATTCATGTCATTTGCTCAGTGTTATGTTTTGCAGGACACACATGAGTAGGTGAACTGTCACAGCAGAAATGGTTGAACAACTTTTCATTGGCT